AGGAGAGAAAAAACGGCCTCATCTTAGGCCTCAATGCTTTACTTGTTGTGAGGCCGTGAATGGCAAGTACAAGCATTCACATGCCGGCATAGATAAAAAGACGTTGGGTTGGGATCACTGTAGATCGTGGGTGCATCAGACAACCTGCAATACGTCATGCGCTATGGAGGTGCTCTCAAACGAGTATCCTTCCACTACTGCATTGCATCAACATGATTCAAGTTGAATGTCTCAAATTGGTGGAGACCACGGGGACCTCAAGGTGACTGAATTTATCTAACCTAGAAAGACCTTTCTCTACACACCACAAAAATGGCAGCTTCAAAGCGCAGCACGGAGAGAGGCTAGAATTCTTCCATTGAGGCATAGATGTAAAAGATGAGTAGAACTCCCGCATTTCCCATTCCTCTTTCGGTATGTTATGTGGCATTTAAGGCGACTCATGGGAACATTTGCATCTAGCTAAAAATATCTCATCCGTTCGTACAACTAGGCATTAAACATGATAAAGAATAGATGTCATAAATACGCACTCCCGGGGAGGGTTGGCTTTACAAGGCGCCTATTGGCCAATGTCAAGGTCATTTCTAAAAAAGGAGATGCGGTAATTACTGAGACGAACGGAAAGGTGAGTAAACATAACAACCAGCAGACCTTGTGGTTGCTTCTCTTCCTAATCAGAGAAAGTGATACTGCTTATCATTAATTAATAACACGAATTTCGACCCATCGTTGAGGCATTTTGCAAGGGCGAACACGAACTTGAAAGCTCCTTACTCTATTTTATAAACTTTATGTTTCCACTATTTTAAGTGGTTGAGCAATCCTAATTGATGTGATCTTCACTCTCAGATGAACTTACTTAAATCGTCATTGCTATTTTAAGTAGCATGGCATCACCATCGCCATTGTTGCCGTTTTTACAGTCTCGACATTTAACCATTGAAATTTTAATAACGTCAGCTTATTAGGCACAAAAAGTAAGGTTTCGGAGCTGTTCTTCTTCCAAACGTGTGAGCTCATGCTACCATAGTCATCTTTTGACGCTTTTGATAAAAAGAGCGAACTCGAGATATCTGAGAAATTTCCCATGCTTCAAGCCAATCCTACTCATCGTCTTCTTAAGAATGGATGCTAATACCAAAATTCGGCAGGGGAACAGCAAATACAGAACTCAAGGCAGTCATAGGTAGAAAAAGACCAAGAGTTCTGGAGTAGCGCTCCATCCATGACACCATTTGCACTACAAAATTATCAAACCTCGTGTACATTGCGGTGGGACATACAATCGGCGTTGATTATCGTGTGCTTCCGTTAAAGGTGCGTTCACTGGCACCTCTGTTCACTTCATTTCAACGTTAAATAATGAACATTTAATGCCAGTAGACTTACACCAGCACACTCAACCCATACTTTTGAACAACGGATTGAAAAGTCTAAGAGTGGTCTCCCATCCGTTCCATTGTTTTTATCGAGAAATCGGTCCTTCTTTTCATCTCGGTGCGTTGGTGGCAGACTTGACGCGCCATTGGGTCAATAAATGACCTTGACATCAACCAATTGGCGCCCTAGACGGTCGGTCATTTAAAAGGCAAATTCATATTTGCCAGATGTTTCATAAGCACCAACATTGCTGCATATGTCGTTGTTCATTTTCAAGAGGAGTTACCTTAATTAAGTAATGTTTTTCCCCAGACAATATTTGACAATGCCGATGTGATGTCGGTTTCGCACTCAAGTAAATGAGAGTGAGTGAATAAACGTAGGCTTAATTAATTGCTCATTCACCAGTGAAATTACCCTAATCAACAAAATAAAATGCTTGGAGGTCTAAAACTTTTTCAACAGAGCACTAAAACTAGTCCTTAAAATGCACCACGGAGGCACTGAAACGGGGGACCGATTTCCCTCACACATCTCTCTTTCTCCCGCCCTCCCTCTGCGTAGTCGCCAGCAACATTTCCGATGTTTAAAACACTCTTTTGATAGTGCACATGTAATAGAAGGTGGAAACTCATGGAGGTATCCCACGTAGTGTCTGGAGACTTCCTAGCCGGTATAAGAAGTCCGTAAGTGCAGCTGGATACATGTATTCCGAAGTCGACAGAGCAAATGGGTCTGAGAGCAGCTCGAAGGCCAACTCACGTGTACAAGGGACAGACAAATCCTAAATTGACCGCCAAACGCCATGTGGTCACATAAACAAAGTATTACATTCCAAACGAAGTTGTAATGCCGTCGACTTTCTGCGATCGAGCACGATATTGTGGAAGATTCCCGTCGCATCTGTCATACGCCACTTAATGATGGTGTGGTGTGCGGTACTGGAATATTAACTTCGAAACGAATAGCCAACTGGCAGTGAGATGCACTTGAACAGACCTTCTAGAGCTTACAGATAAAAGAGTCACCTGAGAGGATGAAACACGCTCAGTTCCATCGAAATGGTGAAAGTGAAATAGCTGAAGTGAGCCAGTGAGCACCAGCCGCTTTAAGCACCCAAATCGTCATCAGTGCTCCACACTAAAGCCACAGAATACCTTATTGCCGTTGCACAACTTTTGACAAGAAGCTGCTAATGGTTGCTTAGTGCACCTTAAATGTGAAAACCGAGAATTCGCCCCTAGGAGACAACCTGAAGGCATTGTCCCCAATTAAATGAGACGAAAAGCTTTCTCGAAATGCTAGAGGGCATTGCAAGATTAAACCTCTTACCTCACGAATAGGTGGAGAGCGAAGGTGAGGTAGAGGCCCGGGGGCGACTAGAGCCAACCTCTCTCAGACGCAAAAGGTTCCACAAAAGTTACGTTCTCACTTTATTCCTGTTTTACAAGGAAGGTTCTAAAAAGTTCCGTGGCGGTGCCCACCTTCAGGTCTACAATCGCACCTGCGACCCACATCCACAGAATACGCGTCCCAGCTTTCAAATTACTGGTGCACATTCTAGAGAAGTTTAAGATAGACGATTGTATGGCGTTTGGTAGCAACTTGTTAAAATTACACCCCGTATTGAGAACACACGGACAAAGTGGATGACAGTCATCAATTTATGCATATTTTTATAACAATGATTAAACTACAGTAGCCTAAGTCGTATAATCACACATCGTACACCTAATAAAACACACCAGCAACCGTCAAATCACTTGGTTCTGGACTTAGTATTCCCTGCTTCCCCTTCCTCTGTCAATTTAATTGAGACAAGATTACCAGTATCACTTTCATCCGAGTCGTTGGGGAAGGTGAGCTGTATCAACTTCAAAGGTCTTTCATGTTCCTCAATTGAAGGTCGTGAGGCTGCTTTGCCCTTCTTCTTTGATGAGCCTGATCGGGAGCCCGTAGACTTGGATACGCAAGGACAACACGGTGATGCTAGCATGGCTTTACTGAACGTCAGATTTGATGCAAAACTTTTGGAAGTGGTGGTGCTTCCAATCAAGAAAGGTAATAAGAGTGCACGAGTCGTGACCAAACACCCATGATAAAACGCACCATGCTACGAACCGTTGAGCATCACGTCACTCGCTTGGTATATTTACAAACTGGTAACACCGTGATCAAGTTGTAGCAGATTTTGTACAAAAGTTCATTCCCAAAGTCCTCTTTGTAAAATGAGTGAGAAGTAATCACCAGCCCGACATGATATGCTCGAGTCTTGATTACAACGGCCTCTATCGAATGTTCAAAATCGCTTCAACTTCTGACCGTATATGAGACGTTGGTACAGTCTTTCATCATAAACTGCAAAACAGTGTTTAAAACTTACAGCATATTTAAGCCATCTGCATCACGCAAAAGAAACTTTGATGAGCACCTTCATATTTAATACCGAAAACATTTGTACTTAAATCAAGTAAGTAGGGCATTGTGTTGATAAGACAACCTCACCGAAGCTGAAGGCCTGTTCTGGGTGCCTTCCAAATGAGACGAAATTCTTTCCTTTAGAAAATCTTACTATCACTTTTCCATGGAATACACAAACCGCCCAAAGGTCTAATTGAGGGTTTTAACTGTCTAAAGAGAATAAAATCATCCACAGTACTAAGACCGCGAAGGTAGAAACACTCATGATGCGAAACCGTTTAACAATACACTTTAAATGTAGTAGAATAGAAGATCAAAGTAGTATCTACCTCACAGTAACTCAGAGAAATCTCGACAAGTTGTTTTCGCATGGCGCTAAAGGCTAAAAATATTGACAACTTCGATGCTAAAACACTTGCATTTAGTTGAGTACAAACTAGACATTGCCTATTGTAGACTTGAGTGTTTACAGTAAACTACAAGCTACAAATAGAGCCCTCAGAGGAGCATACAACCACAAGGCACTTTTAAAAGCCCAAAGTCGGCCTACAAATACCGCCATGATTGTTTGTCGACGCTAATCAATTCACGTGAAGAGCTGGTAAGGTGATATTCAGATAATCATGAAGGCGTGAGCGAGAGCATGACCGCTCTTGTAACTATCTAATCAGGTTCACGAACAGAACCTATCATGAATCTAAGTAGAAATGATAGTTCTGTTCACGAAAGGACTCTGTAGAGAAACTTACCATGGAAGACAAGGCAGACCAGTCATAATTATCAATGAAGGGAGGAAAATATATTAACATCCTACGCGTTACGACTTTCACCTTCTTGTAAAACTCTCAATTTTGTGTTAAAAGGGAGCACTTAAAACGCCTTTGCCACAGTTCATAAGAATCAAACAAATAACTGTACCGTTTCTATGATCCCACCCTATTTGTACTTCGTTGGCCACCCAACAGCCTCCAGATCCGATGCGCCACAGGTACGCGCAATCTACACGACCTGTGTGAATAGACTGTTTGCGTGAATGGTCGATTCAAAACTTCGCCACTCTCAGTGAAGCGACCGACTTCCCCGCTATTGGCGTACGCAAAACTCTCATAGCCTTGAATTATGCAGCTGATTGGTCCGTAGGCTGGATTTGTTGTATATAATTTTCCTCACTTGTCACTACGACATTTCAAGTCGGAATGCTTTGGGTCGTGGCTGCGCTCCACTTGGCGGCCCTGGTTGTGGCTGGCTTGGATGAAATCGAGCCAATCGTGCAGAGACATGAGTATCCCTTAGGCGGAGTTATCCCCTTAACGCCCAAAGTGCTTCAAAGTAAGGAGGTGGAAGAACGAGTGGAAAGAGCGCTACGACAACTCTCTCGTCGAAATGGAGGCCTGATGACTTACCGTATCATCCACATTCGCAGCGGAACACGTCAGGTGGTTAATGGGTTCAAGTACGTTTTTGTGGTTGAAGTGGAGAGCTTGCCGACGGAGGAAGGAGCAGGTACCGAGTCTGTGTCCGAGGTTTACAGGGTGCGGATCTACGAGCCGGCTTCCAGAGGCGCCAAAAGGCGGTACTTCTTTAAGAAGATCCCCACGAACGAGAAGTAGACCGTTTCAATTGTTCATCTTTCTTCCACTTCCATACTTTAGCACCGCGCCACCTAAGAAAACGTAATCCTAGGCGAAAAACAAACAGTTATTTGTATATCGATTTCAAAATTTATGCATTTGTCATTTTTTTTTGTTTTCATGAAGTTCATGTTAGTTGAGGTAGCAACAGAAGAGGAAATTTTATCCGAAATTGGAAATGGTTAAATGCAGGATTGAGTATAGGCTAGATTGGAGTTGTTGCGTCGCTTTTGTGTGCGAATCTTGTGGTGGTTGGGTTGTGTACGCGATTCAAAGGACGCGCGCTCATCTCACGACCTGATTCGCCAATTTCTCCTATGGTCGAACTAATGGTGATGTAGTGTGCGGCAAAGACGAATGTAACTGGGACATCAGTACTCGCCGTCCTGGCGAATGCTTTCCGAATTATTACGTTATGGACAATTTTGTGTTTAATAGTGCGGAACTTTAGTAATCTTTGAAAATGCTTTTGACAATTAGCTGAACCACTGTAAATCCTAGTTGATTCTTGTTCTTGGGACATTTTCAAGTTATTAATTCTTCTGCTTAAGGACATTATGCATAATCACAAGCCCCAAAATGGGGTCTGCCCATTACTGAGTAGGGGTTTGAGACCAGTATCAAAGCACTGTCTTTAAAACTAACTCGACCTCCACTTTTCTAACACTGCAATGCAGCGAAAGTTACTGTCATTTCATATCTTCGTGATCTCAGGTTTTTAGTCTAGGGAAGACTACAATGGAAACTGTTTGGGACAGAAAACCCAAAGCCGATTAGGTTTCGTTCTCACCCCCACTCCCTTCCATATTTTGCCTGTAACCAGTTCTGCGGTAGGATTCACCCACTCGGTGAAATCTGGGAGGCACTTTTTGGAGCCACCGCGACGTTCAGATGTCACAGTAACGCGTCAAAATTGCTCCAGTCTCCAACTTCATCACTAGCGGGAGAGTGCTGATCGTTGACTAGGTGATGGTGCTGCTGGTGGTCTTCTGCTCGGAGTGTCTGTTTTACTCGAGCTCTTCCGTGGGGAAATACAAAAGATGAGTCTTCAAGACATTTGCTAGGTGCTGGTTCGCAAGTTCTCTAAAAGCCTGGATTAGACGGTGTCCGACGTTGAAAATTTGTGCCAATTCGACCGACCAGAGTGAGGAGGAATTGTCTTCACGACTAGCAACTTTGAGGACTTTAAACGCGAGAAGTATAGACTTGGACGAGTTGACTGCACCTACCAACACACTGAGTGCCAAACAAATGACATTTTTGGCTTTCCTTGGCAATGCTCATCATTTCACAATGCATAGGTGTGGAATTTAATTTATTTGTTGTGAACTTTGTTCACCTCCCTTTAAAAGTCCACAATTTTGATAACACGGACGAACCTTTGCGAAGGTGTTCTATTCGTAGTGTCTTCGATGTGTTATCGAGATCCGCCGTTTGGATAGCAAATGTATTTTGACTTCATTCAAGGAAAAATGACTATTTCAGGTTTAAAATGCAACGAACAACGAAAGAGAGGCTGTGAGGATCTCCAAGTGAGTCCTTGTTATTTGAATACTTCTCGCACCTTATCAAGAGGGCAGAAGCCACGCCAACAATGGATGCTCCATGATGAAGTGCGCTTGGCAGTGCCGCAGTAGTTTGACAAACTGGGTGTGATTTTCAAGTTGTTGATCACAAAACTTGTTGACACTCCACCTTCAAAGCCTGTTTTCAACGTATGATTGAATTTTCCTCTCAAAAGCTTTCGAGGGCACACGCTTTGTAGTTTGACTTGAAATTTACCGAAGTGACATGAGTCGATGAGATTTGAGTTGAGTTTGGGGCTATGAGGAATCGACGTCTACACTTCCCATAGCTCTCCAACGGAGGTTTAAAGTCATGCAACTCTGAGACCGAGTAATCGCTTGAAGTGATGAGTTGGAGAGATCCGAACACTCAGATGTGTGTCTTGAGGTAAGGCTTGATGCTAGCAATCTAGGAGGCGTCACTGATGTGGGAAAGGCGATGCAGGCATAACTAAAGCGATTGGTCAGCACTGCGCTTCCATGCTCTTGGGGACCAACATCCACCTCCACCCACCAGCATACATTCAAGGGCGTTGGCAAAGAAGCAAAGGCAACTGACCTGAGGTGTCACCTTTCATTAACTTTGGAATGAATCATTTGAATGAATCATCGATGCCCTCCCTTTATTACGATGCAAGGAATTGGAGGTGTTCTGTCCTCCCTTTCCTCCATGCGATTAATCACGTCTCTTTTCACATCAAGTCTGCAATGTGAGTCGTTTAACCCGCAAAACGCGCTCAGGATTGGTTCCTGTGGCGTGAAACCTTCTAGTGGTGTGAAGGAGGAACGGTATGCAGCATCTGATTGGCCTATGTAGGGTACAGTCGGGCAAAAACCGCCTTCAAATAAGGCGTTTCGGTTCCAGATAGAGACCCATCAAAACTTCGAGCCTATGGATTTCACCAATCTTTATTCAAGATTCCCCAAGACCGCGAGAAAAAAACTGTACCATTGAAGACTGCTAGACACAGTGCGATTACGGGAGCAAATGTTGACAACAAAATTTATATTTTCCAAAGAAAGTAAAGAAAACGGATGTGGGCAATTCATTGGGAAATCCGCATCCATTTTGTTTAAACAACACAGTTATAAGCTACCAAGTGCCTATACTGACGTGAGATTGCTATTCAAGAGAGTAGACAGGTCTTGTCGTTCCGTTGGATGGGAGAAAGATGGTGAGATTGGACACTGGATTGCCATGGAACGGTTTCTCACAGGACGTCTTTTGGGTAGTCTTCACTAAGAAGTGATACTTCACCCCATGGAAAACTTGTTTAGTTCCGTTAAGTATTTTTTCAAGAGTAGAACAGGGACTAGTTGAATTTAAAGCTGTCATCACCAGCTCCTGGATTTCCTGCGACTGGAGGTGACTCTCACAGAGCGGTTTCGGAGGTGTGCATTGTGAATCCACTAGGGCCAAGAGAAGTGCAGCGAGTCCAAAAATGTACCACATTGTGTCTAAAATAAGCAATAAGCCTCATACAAGGAGAACATTATATACCTGGAGCGAGTAATCAAATTGATTATTTGACCAATCAGAGGCCAGATGTGTCCAAGACCCGAAACCTTCCAGCCAATGAGAGGACAGATCACGTAAACCATCTGCTTAGGGGTGACTATTACCATGATTTCACTGAAAAATTACTGGTAAAAAATTATAAAATGCTGGTACCATAAGCATCATAGTGAGGGCGAAATACCTTCCTTAATGTTGTCTGCATAGATGAATTTCTTGTAAAATATCGAAAGCTCTAGAATATACAAAACGCCCCTGCAATTCTACTCCTTATTCTAACAACTAGCTGGTAAATTAGTTTGTACTCGAATTATCTAGTTGTACTGCTTCCGCTGCCTTTGAGATTTACACAAGTTAACATGTGTTCTATAAAAAGGGCCGAGGAATGGTCATGCTCTATGAGAACTATTGGAACGACTTCATTCTACCCCTTTTAAGCTGGTGGTTGGATAGTTTGTTGTTTGGAGTTACTCAAACGAGCAAGGTATGAATTATGCCATAGGGAAGTGCAGACAAGATTCAATCATGGGATCTTGAGTCCACTCTGGGCTCATAAAAGGTCAGATTTGTATCACTCATTGTTTGTTGCCAACACTCAAGGTGGCTGAAAGACAATTTGAGTGGCTCAGAGGTCATAGCATGAAAGGAAGGTGCAGATAGCAGAGCGTAAAAAATTTTACGGGTGATTCAATTGCTCTTCTATGCCATGAGTAAATAAAAGAGAGGTAGTGAATAAAATAAAAAAAAACTGTCGGACAATATTGTCAAACTTGAGTGTGTCTTGACTTGAGTATTTAGCATTTCCTTTAAGTCGAACTAAAATATGACTCTAAGACTGAATACAGACACATGCGGCCTGGAAACCACTGCACATGGCGAGGTTGCATTGGTAGAGCACCTAAGTGGACAATTCGCTCAGAATGAGAGTACTACGGCCTAAAATTGAAATTTAAAATGCTCTTTTTTCTATGGGTCACGTCTTGGGTACCCTTTATGCTGCCTTTACTGGTTACTTTCTACTTGGAGAAGTGAATTGCATTGCGCATCAACTGTACGAACGCCGTTGCCCTTACCTTAGGCGCGTCAGGTCACGGAGTGGCAGCACCGGGCTTAGGCATGAACATAGGGGCATCACTAATGGACGATGCTGGTATCGAAGATGCTCACTCACAAATACTACGCCAAAACTATCAGTGCACAGAAATGTTACATCGCGTTTTGCATTTTTACAGGGAACAAAAGTTGGTTAAATCAGTTGTCAAACCAATTCTTTTACTCGCACCTCAAGTAATGCGCTGAACTCGCGATTGAATCATCGACACTAGCTCAGCCATCTGAGCCATCCGTGTGGCGATTAGCTTCTTGATTAGAGGACGAGTACTGCCCTCTTCGTGTGGAGCTACTGCTAAGCCTCCACTCTATGTCTGTACGCAACGAGGCTTCCATACGATTGTCACAAATACGCTCTCATCCAAACAGGAAAGGTGTTCTGCTAGTGGTTTGAGGCATCTTGGAGTACCTAAGTGTAGCCAAAAGTTTATCTGATCAATGCAGAAGTGCAAGCGATACAGGTCGAGGGCACCGCGTAGACAAAAGTTTGCCTTAGATCTACACCAACTCCACTTGGCCATAGCGCAACAGCATTGCTCCTGTCACGTTGGTGGCTTCACCGTGTAAAAAATTAGCACAGACTATGTCGAAGTTTGAGTCGTTCGACTAGTGAAGGTGGGTGATTTGACAAAGTTCTATCATGCGGTTTTGCACGCATGTCAAACTCCACACGTGACTACTAGGCATATGACTTTAGTAAGCGAGATTGGACATCTACTTTGGGCATGAGTTTCGGGTCAGCCGCATTGCATTCCAATAGCACATGTTCAACCCAGCACCTAAAGTTGATGTGATGCATTATCACTAGAATAGGAGTTTTAATGAAAAGTGACCGGTTTACGGTAACCACGTGACAGAGCTGAGAGTCAGTCATGCTTTTTACCGTGCTAGAGGTCAGGTGGAGGATGAAGCTCTCTAACGCAGGACTGGCTTCCTTATTACAGAGCAAGTACGTAAAGAACATTTGGAATTATTACTGAACTCCAAGACTTTCCATTCGGTAATCTACGGTAGGCAGAACGAGTGGAGGTGAGGCGCTTGACTGACCCCAAGGTCAGCCAACACGAAGATTCGAAAATTTTTATGTTTCCATACCTACCGGGTTTAAATAAGGGGATAAGTTAAGTGGCGAGAGTCTCCTTAACGCTCCATTTATTAGACTGCTTGAATGATTGGATGGCACTTTGGCGTTGATCTTTATTTGCTGGCTGGACTGGCCTTTAGGTTATGCCAAAGTCTAATCACATTTTTCACGTCCTGAACACAAGTATTACGTCATGCCTAGGGTTTTCCATTACCAAATGGGAAGCCTCGACGCTTAGACCAAGGGCAAAGGAAAGCGAGCTTGGCTTTGTTACGATTTGTGCCTGGTTTCAAACGTTTGTGACAAACTTTGTAGTTAGAATGAAATGATCATTACTTAAAAAGGAAAAACCGCTAACACTTTGGAACAGAAGATCTGAAAAATAACGTCTGCATCCAAAATATACCCCATTCCCGTGTTGTACGGGCATGCAACACTGCCGTGCGCCAATGGAGATGTTTCCGTTTGGAGCTTTCCTTACTACATTCGCGTCTAAATGTCGATGATGGCAATGTGCTAAACTGCGCCATGCTTGATCCTGATATTTGAGGTCAGTATTGCATTGGTTATAATTGCTGGTCAACAGACAGTTCCGCATCAGATTCCTGCAATTCTAAAACGACTGTATTCTCAGATCCAGGTGTAGGCTTCTGAGAATGTCAAGTTTGTTCTCTCAGTTACAAAGGAGCTGATGACTAGCGTGGCTGTCCTGTGGAATATTTCTTGTAGCACCGCTTATGGTACTAGCGCCATTCAGATCTGTACGTCGGCGATGCATGTTCTACCATGGTAACTCTTTCTGCTTCCAGAATAATTGTGAGATATTATGTATGCACTGAAATACCTTGTTTGTGTGACCGTCTGACATCTGACTGTTACTTTGGTATTTTCCTTCCCCTTGTATACGTGGGCTGCCCTTATAGGTAAGCCGAGAAGCAAACACCTGCTTTCCCAGAATGAATGTATTGAGTTTAACCTAATGAAATCTCAAAAATATACAGATAATAAGTGTCAAAATCTCTATATAATTAAAAAATTCAAAAATAAGTTTGTAAATAATCAAATAAAACTGCAAACAGTGACATAATTCCTCATGAATCAAAACAAACCTTGTGCAGGAAAGCATCGATTATTATAACTACAGTGCGTACCAAACTAGGAAGTGGTTTCGGGACTCTAAGTGCAAAATGAAAGATTGTTTTATTTTGTGTAAGGAAGGAATGAATTTGTTTACACCTTTTGTAAGAAGCGGTAATAGGAATGTCTTTTAACTCACCAATCGACATCGGCTGCGCTTGTGTTTTTTGCTTCAGTAGCCCTAATTTAGCCGCTCTTTGCTTTCCTACGTGATGGTGAGTGTGGTTCATTGTCTTTGTCAGAAAAACTATTAAAATGCCTTCAACTCAATGTCTCGGAGTCAAAATGTCATCCGTGGAAATAGACCGAACCTGTTCATTAAAGAAATGCTAGGTTGCTTGTCATTTAGTTTTTAGCAGGCTTCCGGATTTTGCACCATTTTTCCAACTTCATAACAGGGAATGTGCAGTTCCCACTTATTCTTCTTAGAACACTCGATTCTTTTGAATGTTAGTTTTATTCTTATACGCAAATCGGTTACGTTACATTCAGTTGGTGCCCTCTTATCGGTATCCAATTTGGATTTGAAGAAAGTGTGTAAATACTTGGGAGGCTCTATTAGTGTTGCTTTAACAGGTCTTTGTTATTCCATACGGAGTCTAGAGTCGCTTCTTGTACTACTACATTGGTAACCCTGAAGTTGATACATTAACGTCTGTCGGTGTATACTTGTAGTGAACTTGGCTCATAGTCATTCTTCCCATTTTTTTCAAGCGTAAGTAGTAAGTTAGCCTGATCCATTTTCTCGTTCCTTCAAGTCAGACGACGTGGTGGAAGAACTACAGCGGTACAAAGAACAGACCAAAGTAGATGGTGAGACCTTGGTACGAACGGTTTTCCCCAAACGCGTGTTTGAAATGCGGGAGCTTCTTGCCTCGAGTCTTTTCAACTTTGGTGAGTTACCACCCCCCTTAGTGTTGTGATTTTTCGCTCATTTTTGATTAACTATCTCGCCATTTAATGTAGAGCCTGCCAATGTCTATCAAAAAGTCAATTTACCTGTGCCTCTAACTGGGGAACAGAATGGTGTTCCGGCAGCAGGGGCAGGCTTACATCCGGATGGCGATTGCACGATCCAAAAACCTCTCACTGGGTCGCCTGTCTTTACTTTTCCTGGCGGCGTAGTGTCCCACAACACTCATATCAAAGCCATGATTGAGGTAGGTATATAGCCATTGGGGCACTTTATGCAAAATAATACCATGGATCGGGGTTAAATTTTTTAGATTTGAGCTAAGACATTGCAAGTATTGTAGAAGGTTTTTTGGAAAACTGCGTTAGAAACTGGTGCTGATGCTTGGGGTTCCATCGTCTGTGATTGTCCGGGTCTGAATGAATTGGAATTTCAAGCTTCTGTTTGAACAGAGATTTTTTATGTCAAGATTTATCAGCGTTTGTTTGGATTGTCTGGTATAGCTCATATTCAGAAGACTTGACTGATACTATTTCTGTCGCTAGTACATTGTGACATAGATGAGGATTTAAAACTATTCGTGCGGTCCGCTTTTGAGGTCGCTCTGAAAGGGGATATTTGGTCCTCTTTTCTGTCTTCTAAAACGGCGTTTTTTGAGGGTTATTTTGAAGTACCCACTGTTGATCCTTAAAAGGTAGTAAATAGAAATTGCTCTTTTTGGGCGAGTATTGGGATAGAATGCTCATAAACATTGCCTCAGGCTTTCTCCAATCCTCTCATCATGGTGTTGTTGGAATAGAAACATATGTTGATTCTTGTTTTTGATCGCAATTCGCTGATCACATCGCATCTTTCGGTATGATTCGCCTTCTGATGGCATTTTGCCACCTCACGAGTTCTCTTACATTTTTTTCTCGTGAAGGGTTGCGGTAGATCGGTCTCGTGCTTAAAATTGTGTTTTTGGGTGGTGATAACATGACGCTCTAAACGGCTACAAATGGTGTAAAATTGACTTTATACATATTCCCAGGTCGTCCGCCCCGGTTCTCCTAGTTACGAAAACTTTCAGTCCATTACTCGTGTTATCGTGCGTTTTTTATGCTGTTTATCCTCGTGAACTTTGAAACTGACCTTCAGCTCGAGCAGTCACTATTTGCTTAGGCTCCGTTTAACTCACCGCAGTCTGGAATTGGCTCGATGTGTACTTTTTTGGAATGTTTTGTAAAATTGTAAGGTAGTGTGGCTGTGACGAAATTACCGTTTAAATGGCCCTTAGTGTTTTTAAAATGCCTCTATGTAGAAGACAGTCATTGTGTTAAGTTCTGTAGTTTTGATGACTGTTTCAATCCTTCGCTGTCCTCTTATTTCGTGACTAATTTCATCAGTGGGAACTAATTTTTTCCCATATTCATCATTCATTAAGCCTTTTTCCATTAATAGTTTTGTACTAAACCGAATAAATTGTTTCGATTTGGTGGCCATCTTCGACGTGTTTTGGCTAATCGACTCCTACAGATTGACTCATTCGGAACCTTGAACTTAGTGCTAGAGGCTACGTTGTCTGAAAATCCATAGTCTTTCCTTTAATATACTTCGCTGAGCCGAATCCAAGCGCCTCCTTACCTTTTTATGTTTACACATGCATTATACGCCACTGACATTCCGGATGCGTCTGAACTTATGGCCTCATCTATTGACGCGACGCGAGTGTACCTCATGAATAAAGTAGCCACAATGGCAACGGCGCATCTCATTTATACCGGGAATCTTCGTCTACATTTCTCCGTAGTGCAGTGCATTTGCAATCACCTGATAGAATGTAGCTTATGTTTAGCCAAATTTGTGACGATTTTGACAGGTTGATGTGGTTCTTTAATTACGGTATTCTTTCCCTCTCTTTGCATTTCACTTACTCATCTCAATTGTGATGTATGTGAGGTCTGGGCTAGAATGCTGGGATCGTAGATAATTGTGTAATATTTGTAACTTGCAGTCGAAATTGTCGAGGTAGAATAAGTTGGCACTTTGTCTAAGAATGATACTCTTGCTTTGATTGGCTTTTACAACAGATCCTTTTTTACATCGCTCGCCATAAAATTTAGATCCATCTGGATCCGATGGTTATTTTTGGGTGTGTTGTTTTTCTTCCTCTTGTTTCTTTCCGCTGTTGTTATTTCTCAACTTCTTTCGTTGTTGGGGAGCGTCGGAACTTTGACGCACTGAGAACCCACTATACTAGGTAGGATTTTAGTCTTTTGAAGTATTGTTTAGTTTACACAAGGAAGTTTCTTGGTTTTGGCATTCTGAGTACAATTTTTTAATCCTGCATTTATCATTACTCAGATGTCGGTTAAAACACCTTAGATCTACTCGAGCTTCTGTGGAAAATGTACTTGAAATAATCCTTCTTCCGCTCTGCTGGTAGGCTACAAAACCTCATCTAACACAACTGATGGTGGAAGCCCAACTTGTGCGGATGTGGATCCAATTCAACGTTCCGCGCATAGAAGATGGCAATAACTTCGGCGTTAGCATCCAGGAAGACGTTCTTTCTGAGGTCTCGGGTATCGAACGCGACGCCCTTACTTTTCTGGATCAGTTCACTAGGTAAGTTATTCAGTCGAGTTTGGTACGTCTAAAGGGAAGCGGGGCTAAATATGTAGGAAGGCGATCTTTAATCCTGTTTCTTATAACGTTCTTTTATCGGAGACCTAATTTCAAAGCTATGATTGGTTGTTCATAGGCATTTGTTTTCTGTCCGTTTTCTACCTTGAGCATGATCATCGAATAGACGATTGGGTGTTATAACCGCAGGCTGAGCTTCTGTTCCCTTCTTTTTCACCAATCCGCCCTCCTCTTGGTGTTGATTGACTTATGCCATTCTTACTGAAAATGAATTTGAGTGTGAAAGGGTGTCGACATTCGTGCTATGTGAAATGCGTTTTGCTTTCTGCTGTGGTTTGCGCTGTGGTAATTAGGAGGCCATTAGTAGTGCCCAATTGGTGACGATTTCTCGTTTGCTAAATCTGTCAGTTGAATTGCGGTTTTGCTTAATCGTCTGAGTCTTGGTTAGATCTTGCTTGATTTCTATGATTTATTTATTATGTTGTTTAGATTTTTGTGAGGAATTTCAGCCTAAGGTCATCTCTTGGCCTGTCTGCCTAACTCTCGTCATTCAGGTCTACGCTGTGTCCTCGTTGACTATACCCACTTCGAGTCTCATTTTTAGGGTGAAGTGAAGCAGATTTAGAGTTCTGCCGTCGTACTGAGAAGGGTCATCCTCCTTCTCAATCATTTATTCTCATAGTTCCTTCTCGATGTGGTATAGGTTACATTAATTAATGCAATGCTTATTGGAGATTTTTATAGTATTAGCCATTAAAGTCGTATTTTAATTTACCTACTTCCGGGTGGTTGGAAGCCATTTCGTAAATGCTTTACTTACTTAAGCATGGAAACTTACTTGCCACTGAAGGGCGATTTCGTCAGTCATCACTCTGCTACCATTAGAAAAAATGGCTGTTTTCTTCTCAATTCATGTAAGGTCCGAACAAATGCTGTTACTTAACATTTTAGCTGTTTTATTTAGGTTCAAATCTCTACAAAAATGTTTTTCAGGCCTTTTACTTCATGGATTGCAAACGTGGGAATGGTCAGCGCTTGAATCTATAAACCCAACCATGGCCTCTACTACGATGTTTACTGGTTAGCGGGTTTCATTTGTGTCCTGGTGGGGGGGCTACTTTTGGGATTTTATCACCTTTAACTGTGCAGTTCGTCATCTGTCTGCTTTACTACATTACGTGCATAAATACACAGGAGGCATCGGCTGCTGAACAATCATTCTTCCCTCGCATTGCTTACAAATGTTAACGAGGGTACTCGCAGTTTCATCGTATCAGATCAGCTATAACAGCTCTGGGTTGCAACCCATCTTTCGCCTGATGATTGGTGCTGGAATCCGGAAACTACTGACTCTCTTAGTTTCATGTGTTTTGCGAAACAAGTCCTCTTTTACGTTGCCTGGTTTGTCGCCTTATCAGTATGCTTCTTCAAGGAGGTAGGGCAATGATTTCGCTATCTTCTTTACCGTACCATTTTCAGTGTATATGTGAATTGGGGCTTAAGGAAAGATTGTCATCAGTCAAAACGGATTTTGCATCTCCATCATTACGCATCGAGTTGCATGAACTTTTTGCCCTTCAGTTAACTGGAGGGTTAAACTGCTTGAACTCTTCATAGGCATTCAACGAACTTTTAAAAATACTGAATGCCACCAACCAAAACTGGATTAAATTAACTTCATGTTCTCCTGACTCGGGCCCCTCTTGACTTCGGACTGTAGGCCTTTTGAAGTTGCTTTGCAGGACGAGATTTATAAAAACACGCGGTTGCCCATCTGGCTCAAGCATGCGCTAGCTTGGTCTGGGTCTTAAGGAGGAGCTTCTTTCAGTTTCTTTTTTGCGCTATTTCATTAATCTCACCACATGGAGCATTTATTGTGTAGTTCAGGCGTCCGTTTTCTGACTAGCATTGCTGATAATGGTATAGATGTTGGAGCGGCTGGTGAAGTAAATGCGAACCTATTTCGAAAACAACCATCGGCTAGTCAGTAGGGCATTAATTGACCTTTCGGCAGTTGAAGCTGTGGTCTAGGTGATGAACGGTGGATCTACCAGACTCAAACTCTGGGACGAGTGACAATCACATCAACTTGGAAGGCAAAGTGCTTTTCCTCTCCCATGCCCCATTACTCGGAGGCTCTTAACTAAAGTAGTTTGAAAGCGGCAAAGGGTGAGATGAAAGCTGTGGAATAGACACGTGTTTTGGTTGCTCTTATTTTCGTTTCTACCTTATCAGTGCTTTTTCCAACCCTCCACATCATTACAATGGCAAAGCCATGAAAATCGAAGACTCCCGTACTAACTGTTATAATTTGTAGAAGGACAAGTCAAATACATTGGTCATATGGTCGTGTAACCATGGCAGCGCCGCTACTGGTGGCATACATCGCGGTGTTTTTTATGGTTGTAGTGGTGACTGCTATCCTCAGAGGGTGATGCGATTGTTGACAAGACAAATAAGTGGCAGTTTTAACGCATTTAGTGAATGTTCCCTGGTTCTATTTACCTTTTTTGGTACTTTGATCGTCACTTGAAACAGCACTTTTCAGTTTTGTAAAAGGATCACCTCTCCCCAAATGCGCTTGTGGGAATGGTGGCTTTTAACGAGCTTTTACAGGGTATTAATCACTCCTACAACTAAGCGGAAAGAGCCTTGGAGCTTTAAGTGTCCGTTGGCAGACTGGCACTTATCCTGATGCTCTTTCTGTTTTCGTGCAGGTACTACGCCTCACGCGGTAAGCTGGTGGGGAAGGCGGCCAAGTTTCCGCACATCGATGACTACCGTGAATGCATCCGGGACATGGACGAGAAGCAAGCGATTTCAATGCGTTACGTCATCATGGAGATCCGCAATCATTATGTGAGTGTCATTCCTCTTCACTGCTTCCCTCGAATATGTCGAGCAAGATGTTTGTTTTCTGTGCTGAATTTTCGTCGTACTTGGGCAGTACTTTAAAATCGCACACTTTTTCTCCTATTGAGCACATTTTATTTGCTGGAGCTTGTTATTATCAGATGAACCATTTTTGCCACTCCTTTTCTTTCGTCCATCGTCTCACGCACCATTTTCATCATCACTAACTATTCGTTGTTGTCTGAGTCTGTGGGGACATAAGGTCGTCGTTTGACACTGAGTAGAAAGTTGACGCAAGACGCGGGAAGGCATTCTACCATCTTATTCCTCACTATTTTTGTCTTGCTTTGGAAATGTTGAGGTGTTTTTATGGCGGGGTGGTTTGAGAATGAAGCCAAACATAGTTTATCCGTTTTTGTTGTTCCTAAAGGAACTAAACAAAGTGCAATAGCGTTTCATTTTGCATTGCTTGCTATTACCCAGTCACCGTCATACACTCCGCCGCTTCCAGCCTACATGTGTTGACTCATCTCCAGAGGTTTCCTTGGTCGGAATAGCTCTTAACTACGTCTAGATCTCTTCACTCCTGAACCTTGAACACAGTTGTTGAATTTTAGTGCCAGACTTACTAATCTAAATTCATTTGAGTTGCCTTCTTCGGGCATCGGAAGCTAGACGAAATGTTAAAGGCTCATAAAATTGATGGTATTTTGCCGATCTTTATTGACGCTGAATTGGTTTTCAGTAGCGTATACCCACCAAGTGGTCTTAATGCCTCTTCGTGATTGCCTTTCTCGCGCCTTTGTACGTCAGGTGGTGTGACTCGCAAACAGCTTGCTTTGCTTAAATGCTTGGTGCGGGCCTCCTCGCTCATGAGTTCTCGGCACGGAGCTGGGCATTTGTAGTCGAATTTGTCCGAGGATTAAAAAGCGTTTTGGTTTGGAAGTACGATTTACAGTTTCACGATGAAATTGTTAGGCAGCACCGAAGTGGACTATGCATTTCGATAATATCTAGGTCCTATGCGGCACTTAAGCTGGGCCCACAAAAGAGTTAACACCGGTCCTTTTTCTTTCCCCCTTTTTAGGCAGTGCTGCATGATTTGATAGTGAAGAACTTGGACCGAATTAAGGTGCCGCGTTCTAATAACACAATGACCATGTATTAGAATGCGTGGACTGCGTTAACTCAGGGAGCAATATCCACTCCCTATGGCTTCCCCCATCTCCTCTCCACCGTCCCAAGTTTCCATCGGAGATCATGATGATGATGGCAACGCTTTGTATACCTTCAGCAGCGAAACGAAAAGTCATTAATGCCGCCTAATAATAATAACCACCACAACTGCCACAGTAGTTGTGCTGTTCTGGCCTGCCCTTTTCTTTTTTATTTGCCCTCCATTTTTGTTGCTACGGTAGGCTTAATCTTGATGGCTTTTGAGTTAGGAGGAGTTCGGTGGACGTTGAAACGTTGAGGATCGCACTCGAGAACGGTGAGCTTGACAATGGGCACGTGTCATACATTTCCAACACTGGTTTCATCTTAGAAAAATCTAGCCCTCACACGTATGCGGCGCCAATGTCGAATGTGCTGTTGTTCTTCAAGGGCGCTCGTTAGTTACCGTTTTAATGGTGTTATTTGTTCGAGGCAATGCAGTGGGAGTTAAATTTACTCAATTTCCCCTTTTTTGCTCCACAATTTTCATATTTCTTGATCAATGTCCCGGCCTCAGGGGAGGGTATGTGTGAGGCCTCCAGTCGAATGAGCAGCTGAATGAGTGTCATTTCACCTCCTCTACGGGCGATATGATCAGCCGAAAGGTGGAAGCGATGTGGCATTGGTTGGAGCTCAAGGAAAGCCTCAAGGTTAGGGTTTAAAATAACTGTCAAATCTAACAGGTGTATGATTATTCACGTGTGTGTTGTTCGGACCAAATTAAGAAACACGCAGTGAATACGTCTTACAGCACTGTCTCCCGTTTTTTGAGCGCTTAGGGTTCGAGCTTGTTTTCCCTTCAAAGCATAGCGGTCTCAAGAGCCTTTGGGTGGTCCTTTTTTCCTCCTTCAAGGCATTGCTATGCTTATCCCTCTTATCACCATTCTTAAGGCTTCCTGGGGAAATCGGCGATTATTTGAAGAGGCTTTTTTTGGTTGTGGACTGCCTCATGTAATTCATCGTCGGACTTCCAAATTGAGTTGCCTTAATTCTTACAGGCTCCTGCAATAGGTGTTAACCTTGCCTTTATGCTAAAACGCAACCTTATGTCTATATTTTCCGTTTGTTTGGTGAAATAATCGTAACTACTACAATTAAGTTGTCGCTAGTCTCAATTTTTGTAAAACCCTCCCGTTACTGTGTGTTTACTGCGTCTGGGTCTACTGATGGGCTCTGAGACTCCTTTGGAGATGGGAGGAGGTGTGATGCTCGGACAGAACGCGTGTTGCGGACGTAGCGTAGGTCTGGAGGGCTGTTGACTTGGTCTGATTGGCTTGCCATCCAATGGAACCACAACCACGGTGCCTGTAGTAAAGGAGGAGCTAAAATGGTTGGTTAAAAAGGATCTAAGCGTTACGTAGTCCCCCTCTTTCTTCTTAACTACATTCTTGCCGCTTCTCTTTGCTGACCTCCTGTGTTGGTCATCATGAAGTATTTGGTGCTGAAGGGGAAAAAAGGTTCACGTGTCAATTACTTTGAGCCGCGAAGCTGTTTGCAACTAAGGCGATATCACTTTTCCTTGTTCTATGGCGATGCCACTGGATTTGGAGTTCTAACCTCTTCAGCGGGCGAATTAGGGGAGACGATGCGTGCGTCCGACGCTTGTCCTAAGAGCGCTGCCCTGGCATCATACAGTCAAGCGTCCTTTCTCCCCCTCCCTTTTATTCCTGTCTAGCAACAAATCCATCCGCCAGTCGAGAGGTAGACAAGGTGGCGTAGACCTCTTTGTGGTGACTTACGGCTAATATTGCTTCGGGTGTTAACAGCCCTTCCGCACAGAGCCTAGGATGGATGCGGAGGCCGCATGGAGAATGGGAGCGAGATGATGTTCCCTCCTGTCCTAAATTTCATTTTGAGATATCTTCGACGGAAAATTTTGCCATCAGCTTTATGTGGTTTGATGTTGTGTTGTGCGGGATTGCGAAGAGGACTTTCTCCGAACAAACCCCCCACATTGTGTATAAGGTTTGCATTCTCCTGCTCTGGCTATTCAGTCTGTAGCCTGAAAGTGTAGGGGAGTGGATGCTGGAAGGTGCTGGTGGAATGCGAAAACTATCTCCCGTCACAAGATGGTCACTTAGCCACTTCGTGACATTTATTGCATGGAACATTGAAATGACTGAAAGGAAGGAGATTAATGGTCTTGGCAACGCATTGACACATGTCTGTGCATGCACTTCTCATCTACGACTTACCTTCAGTGGAACTTTTTCAGCTCGCACAAACGCAAGCGCATTGTTTTACCATTCCTGCTATTGGTTTCTGACACGTCAATCTTGAGCTACTATAGTTTTCACGGATACACTTTCCCTATAGTTTGAGCCACATAGTCATCTTCAATGTCATCCATCAACCTCTTGATTGTTAATCGTTGGAATTTGGTTGTAAAAGCATCTGGTCTGCAGGACTTCATGCTTTACCTTGGATCCTACGATTGTCTTCTGGTCTCGTTTGGTCTTATGCACTATCATTGTTCTTCTTCCTTTTGCTGTAATCTGACTAACGAATGAATTCACTTGGTGCTAGCCGCCGGAATCATCTGGTTGTTTATCGACGAAACTATGAAGTGCCTTTGATGTGGGTTGATGCATCTTGACTACTGGAGGTGCTTTTTAATTTGCTAAGTTTGTGACGTTAGCAATTTGTTTGCAGTCGGGAATGTCATCAAAATTAACCAAATTTTGAAGTTGTTAGCTCCTAATCGATTGAACCTCACCCAATCAGAGGGGGCGGACGATGGCGCATGTTTTAGCCTGATCGGGTTTTATGCCGCCTAAAATGTAATAAGTAGTAACATAATGCTTTAAACGTAACTAATTGTTACTTATTTTAAATCAGTAGTGGAAGTTTATCCGACGGTTCGTGAAGTCGCTTTACAGGTTCTATTTGCTTGATTGTGCTTGTGGGCTCAAGATGGTCTGGTGTTGACAGGGAGGAATTGCCGATTCCATTGCTTTCTTCGATGATATAGGTAGTCACTTGGATGATGTCTGCATGGTCTTATCAATTTTGATAGCAGTTGTTATCAAAGACACTTTGGATGGGTTCTGTTTTGTACCTAAGCATTCTCAACAAAAGCAGAAATGTCACTCCTCTTTGGTGGGAGGCGAAGATGAGTGCGTGGACTATGCCATTACCAAACGATATTTGGGTGTAGGACACTCGTCTCAGTACATTTTCTAGGAAAGTTGCTGATGACATAAGAGACTGCTGCAAACATTCGAACTAATAACCTCTTTCTTGGAGATGTACTCCTCCATTCCTATACCATCGTACATTCTCATGCAAAATCAGGCGCCTCTCGACGGCATTCGCTTACAGCAATGCAAATCATAATTTTCCTTTGATCCATATTGAAGTGACGTTCGCGCAAACATTCTGTCTCGGTAAAGTTGGATTCTTAACAAATGTAGATTCGATTAGCCGCCATCTTGGTCGCTCAATCACATTGCGTCCTTGAAAAGAAAGCCTGGCACCGGGTGGTCGATACTCGTGTCGGGAAGTTGGGCAGACTCCGTTTACCCCACGCGGTGGTGCCCTCCTCTGGGTCGATGGAATGCCTCTTCCCCGCCTTGAAATGAGTGTATACACCTTGAACTATCGTCAAGTTAATCTGCCAACCACAAGCATCACAGGCAACGCTGTCAAAAGGAGACACCTGTAATGTTTGCGATTCGGGCCTCTGAAGATGCAGATTGCAAAGAACTTTATCAACAGTCAAAGGACCTTCTCCACGAACATGACGATCAGGGTGATGACACATGGATAAGTGCAGAAGAGTTTATAGCTATCCACGCTGAAAAGTTTGTCCGTTTTCAAGTCCTTACAACGAGAATAGGCGAGGCCAAAAACGTCAGCATTGATGAAAGGAAGAAGGAAAGTGGAAGTGTAGATAGAAGGAGGAGTGGGAAAGAACAAGGGCTTGCAATTCCAGAAGAGCAGGTTGTGGGCTACATTGCTTTCGCTGAAGACTTTGATCTGCATTTCGGTGGACGGGGTTTTCTAGTTGACCAATTCTTCATTCGTGAGCAGTTTCGTGGTAAGGGTCAGGGTCGATGCCTTCTCAACTGTATTCGTGCCGAGGCACGGAAGAGATCACTGAAATACATCAAACTTTTCTACCAACAAACAGCTGAAAGGGATGCAATTTACTCACATTTGGGATTTAATAACGTCTCGAAGTCTCATCCTTTCATCCACTACTTCGAGGTGTACGGTCCAGAGGAGATGAAGTCGCGGTTGAGCATTGATGTTTATGAGCCCATGGAAGAAGACATCAGCGCTCTGCCAGTGAAACCGGGAACGGACGTGCTGGAGTACATTCAAGCGCACGACTCACAAGACGGTTATGGCCGCCTAGGTCTCTTGTTTAGCTTGTCCACAGCAGTTTCTGATTCTAGCGCGCCTTCACCTGGTCTCATAGTTCTCATACAGCACTCAATACGCATACATCCGCTTCCTGGGCTCTTTGAGGTCCATTCACTCAAGCGATTTCTGTCTCAACGTGGGATATTTATTGACGATCCGCCTCCAATCCTATGGACCCAGATTTGGAGTAAATATCAAGGCATTGATGCAGAAGACGTTCTCATCTGTGCGTTTGTGGAACGACCCACTGTGTGCTGTTGGCTGGGACATCAGTTGACGTTTAGCAATTTTGCAGGCAACTTGCAAATGATATCAAAGGAGCTACTGGTGCGACGTATTCGAGCCTGGTCGCCCAAGTGGGGACCGGTGTTGGGAGTTAACTTTGAAATTGCTGGCAATGAGACGTCCTATCTCACGGCGTCCAACAACGCTCTGGTGCGTCTGCTCAACTCGCTTGGCGTTCGTGAGGCCTTCAGCTGGAACTGTGCTGTCATGCAAGAAGAGAATATTCATGAAAAAGCTGAAAACTAGTGGATTTGGCGGTTGTTTGGCTTAAGAATTTGGTTTTGTTCATATCTGATTCATTTGCACGCATATTTTTATTGCTTTATTTCAGTTCCTATAAAACTGCTTCTTGTGATCACGACCGCTTTAAAGATACTACTTGAGTCTTGTGTTGCTTTCCCTTTTTACTTTTCAATGAATTTAGCTTTTAATCTTTTTGTAGAACAGCTCTGTTTCCTATTATGGATCCTCGATGAATTAACCAATTTTTCTTTTTTGTGTGAACTTGAAAGCTTGTTTCCTTTGAAGTGCTCTAATTAGCGTTCAAAATCGTCCTCACGGCACTAGGAAAAGCTTACTGAAAAGACAAATAAGTAGGCGTATCGAACTTCAAACATTTATTTTTGAGTAAATTGCTAAGTCATATTTACGACAGTCATGTCAAGTTTGGCACCATGAGACGCTTCAGAGCGCACACACATCAAGGGCATTTGGTGGAGTCGAGGTAGAAATGTCTGAAATTACACCCGTTGAGCATGTGAACTGCGCGAGCTATCAAAGCAGAATTGCTGAAATATGCGTTAAGTTTTGGGTGATGGCTTTGACTCTCAAAAAGCAGCCTTTTGTAGTTTAGGGTGTCAAGATTAGACCCCTTTGTAGGTGGTGTTGTCACCTCTTGCGTCACTTCCATTCTATGAGCGCTTTTTGCTCAACACTGCTCCTTCTTTAGTTGTCATTCCACACTAATTTGAACTAAGGAAGTTGCTTTTCGAGCTTGCATCGAGTTGGATTCTTTATGCGCGAAAAGTTGCTTTGCGTCCAGCATATTCGAGTGACAATTAAGGAAGGCAGAGCTAAAAATAGGGAAATCAAATCAGGAAGGGTAGCATGCCTCTGTGCATTGACATGATCGATGTTTATGGTCATGTAAGTATTCCTTTTTAAAATGACTTTTTATGCTATGGTGATTTGACACTTTGTTTAACTTTGGAGTTGACAGTATAGACACTTGGTCTAATGGAAGGTTGCAATTCACCTTGTGCCCCATGAATTTTGGACCACGCTAGCTGAGATTAAACCTCTCGTTGCACTTTGAAATGTCACTGCAACGTTTTGTTTACGCGACTTTACGTAGGACTTGCGGTCACTTGGTATTTGCCGTCTACTTGTGCGCTTGAGTCGCGCCAAAGCCCAACTTTCTTCTCCTCTTAGATTGCATAGACTTTGATCAGCATAACGCCTCATCCTGGCTAGTGAGAGCCTCGGGGCGCCACAGCAACAACTTTACGGAGGACGGGGATACCTTTTGTTCGCGTGGTGGATTGCATCTCGCCATTATCACACGTAAGACAAGCAGTGACACTGTGCTTCGTAGATAATTTGGCGAGGAAGAAATAAATTACTTTTAATCTTCTGCCTTCGAAGGCCTCGGCATAACTTGCCTGATCTGCATTCGCTTAGGTCAACTTGTGTGTGCTAAGGCACACTTTCACAGCAGTTAGTGGAAGGTTTGATCATACTTTGCCACGCTACAACGCACTTCACAACACTGAGAGGATTAGAGGTTCCAATGTCTTCGCACAGACCAAATTACTGTGCATGCGAATTCCATCATAAATAGCATAACTTTCAAGATGTAAAGTTTGTGATGAAAATTATTTTTACCATAAATGCTTTTGTTGAGAGTAAAATCGAGTTCATGAGTTCAGCATGCTTCCAAAAAAGGTATCTGCATTTCGACTTCACGATTCTTTAAATTAACTATTGGCTTGAGAAATTGCTTTACAACTTACTGTGCACCGTTTTAAACGCTTACTCTGGATGGTGTACATCCAAGCTGGCTGTAATTCTCTTTGGGTGTTTTCACTAATATGCGGTAAAAATGAGCTGTGATAGGTGTTGAGGGTGTTTATGTGTGCCCGAATAAAATTGCGAATAAATGTTAATTGCACCACAATTATCGGTGGTGTGGGCTTGTGTGTTGGGTTCTCACTCGTTAAGCGAAGTTGGATGTTCTCCTCTCGACGGTGTGGTTGTCAGTGTCAATTTAATCAACCGGTTTTAGCTTGATGCTTGCAATACCCTGTTGAAAGGGTAAAACGAATGTAGCGTCCAGTTTACTTTAACGTCAAGCACAGGATTGATAGATTTTGAATCAAAACCCGAAGATGAGACACTTAAACACACTAGAGGGAAAGTTATTGCAGAGTTGGGAATATGAATGCAAGAGAATCAGAGCTTTTGAATTTTTAAATGAGCTAAGAGGGCCTGGCAGCAGTTCGCTTTCACTGCAAGTGGTGCGCTGGTACAACGCTTTAGAATAGTCATTTGTATGCCCCAAATGGGTTAAACAAATTGAAAAGCAGTCTCTTCTGACCTCCACCTGATCGTCCACTATATTAGCTATGGTGGTCGCATTCCCCTTAAATTTGCATTTTGAACTACCAATTGAGGAGTTAGGATTTTAAAACGAGGTAAGTATCCTTACAACTGTTACTACCGTCACTTTCGTCATGATTTACGGCCTACGCATGCGTGGATGGATGTGGACCGAAGTCCGATGATCTTGCTTGTCTTTTAAACCTAAAGGTCATGCCTAAAGGGAAAGATTTGGGATGCACATGAAACAACTGCTGCGCCCGTAAAACATAAAGTTGCCACTGTTTTGGAGGTAAAAGTAATCCACAATATGGTGCCATTACCTAATGGATGGCAATTTAAACAGCAGTGGAGAGAATGAACGGTCGCAACTTAAAATTGGGTAAAGAGTTGTGCAGACAACGACAACACCTACATGAGAGCACAATCCATTCGACAACACAAACTTTCTACCTCTTTCAAAATATGAGAATTTTTGACACACTTCGTATTCAAGGGTCTGGCCTTGTTGGGTGGGCATGTGTGAAGCATTCCTCACTAGTTGGGCATCGAGCGCATCATGCAATGTAACAGTTCAACAAGAGACGCGACGACTACGTTCATAAGCCAACGAAATCACAATTAAAACGGAAATAAACTAGTGTAAAGGAAAGGTGGCAGAGAAGTCAATTTAAGAAAACAGCTATCACAGTGCAAAGGTGATTTAATAACATGTAACTTTTAAAATCGCTGGCAGCATAGGTTTCCGAAATGTCCTTCTTAAACGGGTGTGGAGGAGAGCACTGTTGGTAGTCACGAGCAAATTCTACCCACATGCTTTACTTATCCCGAGAATGCGGATCGCCTAGCTAAGGGAGGAAATAGTAGCTACTGATCGTTCAGAGTCGATAAGGCTTCCTTGATTTTGTGGCCAGTATAATGACTGCTCAATGTGTCGAATTTGGGGACTAGGGCAACACTAGGCTTCATAACTTCATTCTGCCTTTGAAAGATTACTTGAAGAACAATATTTGGTAACTAGAAAACCCCCCAAAAAACCTTAGTCCATACATTTTGTGGTTTATCAAGAAATAGTAAACTCCAACTGACTCGGCGGCATGCAGTGCAAAGCCGACGTTGTATTTTGATTGTGTCCTCGTCATGTTTGCGATTTTTTCAAAAGAGTCGTTTTGTCTGGATTTTGTTGGGCTGGCTACTCGGGAAGTTGCTTTCTTTTGAGTGTCTTATTAGGCATGAGGGCACGCGGTGTAAGTGAGAGAGTAGGACGGCGTTGATTCATTTTCCGGGATCAAATTATTATAATTTTAAAAAGCGCGGCAATCAAAATGAACACCTGCCTCTGGCCTACAGGGAAGATCATAAACACTTCATATACATTGCCCTCGTACCATCAAGATAAAAATAGTATTAATGAAGCGGCAAGAAGGACAACTGAAATAAAAGTTAAAGATAACTATCTAACCTTGCGCCTAACAATTACATCATTTTCTTAACTCTTGGAGGTGAATATATAACTACTCGCCTGTGTAGAGCAATTGCATGCCTCAAACTAACCTACTTATCAATAGTTGGTTAAGGAGGTATGCAGAATGACGATAACAGCTTTCACCACAAGCATCCTCTTAAATATTATATGCATCGCGACGCTTGAATATATTTCCATCAAATGCTTTAAGCATTATCCGGAACTTCCCAGTAGGTATGAGAAGGCATTATGGAGGGCAGAATGCTCATGTTCAAAGAGAAGGGAGGTGGGTTTGAATGTGTCCTTACCACGAGTACACCTTACGAAGGTCGTTCATCTAGATGGCCGAAGAAATAAGGTCTTATAGTATTATAATCTTTGAAAATCCAATTTAACCAAGCACAGGTTTTAAATGATTTTTATAACAAATTTACAATTTAGTGATTTTATAATACTAAACATCTAACAGTGTTTTTTTAGGATTTTGATGTTCCATGTCTTGTGTTTGTTTAAGTGAATTCGAAACTGCGGTAATTCGAGGGTGCGCTGAGCAGGGGCGGTAGTGACTAGCAGTCTTAGTCGCTTCATCAATGTCATCAAAAATAAAAAAAGGAGTTGTAGAAAGAGGCACATATTTGTCATCTGCGTGAAGCAAGCTCGAGCTTGTAAAGCTGTTATAGACTTGGTGGTTGCGGACTTTGGCGATCAAACGGATTCATTCAACACCGTTTAGCTTTAAACAACATTGAAATTGTTCTATTTGCAATGTTTGCTTTGCATATGCGCAACATTTTGACTAAATAAACCTTTAAATTTGTGTCACATCTAAAATGACTTTGTAGAGTATGTTTGTTGAGGAACGGTAAACTAATTTAGTGGTGAGTTAGTAGAGAGAGAATATTCTGTTTCAACTAATTAACAAGCAACCTGTGTCGGCTGATTAATTCTGCTTTTTGTGACTAAGTAAAGGCTAGTTTGGTTATGAAGTGCGTTTTAGGTAGGAAGGCTCAATTCCTGCATCCGGGCACAGCGGTTAGCACTTTAGATGAAGTTCACCATCGAAGTTAACAGTAAGTATGCAGCTTTTGCCTTGCCAGTATTGTAAAATTGGCTCTAAGACATGGTCACATCATTTTGCAGAGGTAAGGGCTTGTAATTTAAAAGGGGAATTTTCAGATTTATA